CATCATCATGCATCATGGTCGTCTTCATCATCACACATCATCATTGTCATTTATCATCAACATCAACACATATCATCATCATGCATCATGGTCGTTTTCATCATCACACGTAATCATCATTACCATGTATCATCAACAACAACACATATCATTATAGTCATGCATCATCATGCATCATCATCATCATGCATCATGGTCGTCTTCATCATCACACATCATCATTATCACGTATCATCAACAAACACACATCATCATCAATGTCATCATGGATTGTAATCATGAACTTTTGCTTCACCTACTTGTAAATGATGGTCTAAAAGTTGATATGCTGTAACCGCTACTGTGGGAGAAACAACAACATTAGGTTTAATCTTTCAATATGAGAAGAAAACAAGGGAAAAGAAACTGAAAGATATAGAAAAAGAGGGAAAAAATGGAAAGCGAAGTGAATCAAAAAAGATAATATGACACAAGGAATGCAACAACCATCTTTTAACAATCAATTTAAATTCCAATAGCCAATATGCACCAGCATGAATATCTAGCACAAAGCCAAGCACTAGACAAATAAGAACAAGGAAATCGATAGAATCATCAGGAAAAATTACTCTGTTATTTTCGTCTGTTCAAATACTTAACGTTTCATAGAAAATGTTGAAGATAAAATTGTCAGAGGGATATTTAGAGGAGCTGAAAAAGTGTAAGTACTCAGTTTCCCATCATGCTTTGTGCTAGAGATTTGTGCTTGTGCACCCTGGTTATTCCATCATGGAAGAGGGCCACAGGTTTGTTAACCACTGGCTATTAAGTGCTACTCTTGTAAACACACAGACTTTTTCTTACCTTGTGGCTTCTCAAAACTTGTCTTTCGTTGAGCTAAATACCCAGTAGGACTTGACACTGATCTGTTCATACCAACTCCATGCCTTTGATCATGATAAGGAACAGTTCTATTGGGCTCACTAATCTTACGCCGCTCAAAGTATGGACTCCCTGTGGTGGAACCCGGACTAGAGCTTCCCGAGTTTGGTGACTTGGGCCAATTTGTTGGAGTCGACTTTCCACTTGAAGACTCTTGTGAGCCTTGAAGTCCTGCCGCGTTTATAAGATCATCCTGTAGGGCTTTGCCAACTTGTTCTAGGTTTAATCGGTCATCAACCATTTTGTTTAAATGTACTGGGGTGTTACTGGGTGTGCCTGGGACTATAGGGCTGAATCCAGTATATGTGGGTGTTCGGCCGTGGTGATTGATGAAAACCCTGTTGGCACCTGCTCTTTGAAATTCAAAGCTGTYGTCTGGTAAAATGGGGTTTAACGGCATGTTTTGTGGGTGCAACTCCTTGCRGACTGATTCAGATATGTTCGGCATGCTCCCACCAAAGTTGTGGGTGAATGACTGGTCTGGTATGGGTGGCCTGTGGTGCTCCGCGTGATCAAGATCATTAATGCTGGATGACATGACTGTGCGCCCCAATAGATGATCATCACCATGGTAACCATGGTGGGGATATACTTCAATAAAGTCCTGGCCACCTGTCGAGAACCCTTGACTACTAAGGGTGTGGAAGTAGCCAGGACGGTAATCTTTGGTAGTAGGATGCCCCATACTACTCGGAGGATATCCCTGGCTACCATGAGTATAACCATGACCACTTGGGGGGTAACCTTGGTTACCATGAGAATACACCTGAGTACTGGGAGGGTAGGCTTGGCTGTGTGGAGGGTACCTCTGGCTAAGAACAGGATGCCCTTCACGTCTTGGATTATATCCCTGACTACTAGGAAAATGCATCTTGGCACTCGAGACTGGAGTCTGAATATTCATTACAGAGTCTGTGGGAGATCCCTGAGTAGTCACTTTCGGCCTTGTGTCAAACTCCTGAGTAGTGCTTCCTGCAGTGACACCCTGTAAGGAAGGCTTCCCAAAAGCACTTTTTCCTGAACTTGTGGTAACGTCCTTCAAACTAGCCTGCTTCCCATTCTTTGATGCCGAAATTACTGGAAATTGTTCTGGACTTGTAGGAAACTTGACCGACTGTAGATTACCTGGTAATGGGCTGACAGCCCTTCCTTGGAGTTTACCAAACTTGACCAAATCACTCCCTAAAAAGACCCTTGGTTCTGGCGATTCAGGTATTAACTGCCCACCACTCTTATTCTCTTCAGCCTCTTGGACCTCTAGATGGGGTGGTTCTTGACTCGTATCCCTTGGTGTCTCCAATTTTTTTTCTGATTCACTCTCTTCCTTCTCCACATCATTGGTCTCCTCTCCATCCTCATTGTCTTCTTCGACATTTTGAATTTCGTTGTGAATGACTGTGTCACTTAAGTTGCTATCATGTGTTTTGGAAGTTGCTGTGGTTTGTGTTGGGTTAGCACTTTCTGGGGTTGTTTCAGCTGCAGGTGATCCTGGAGGGAAAACGAGGCAGGTATCTGCACCGAGGAAAAACTGCAATAAAAAATRTGGGGGAAAACACATCAAAAACATCAAAATACAGCCACACATTATTTAACAATTATTCGCCGAAGGCGAAGTGATTATCGGGGAGTATTTACCGTGACGTGAGTCTTCGAGCGGCAAGGTAAATATTCTCTGATATTGACTGAGCCTGAGGCAAATAATTGTTTTAGTATAAAATACACAGGTGATTCTTTCAAAAAAAGAAAAAAAAGAAGATAAAAGGCATTTTTTCCTGGTAACAGCAACAAAGCAGCTGGCCGCCATGCAATTCCAGTTGACTAACTTCATAATTTTGTTTTGGCAACCAATTAGGATGTTTTAGTGTCATTTGCTTACGCATAGATGCAAACAACTGCAAAACTGCAATTGTCTGTTTGCAGCTCTCAGCCTTGAGTACATAAATATGTTTGAGTCCCCCAAACCCAGAAATGAAATCAGAAAATATTCGGCCAAAAGAAAGAGGCCTATTGGATGATGACAAACACATATATTTGAAACAGAATAAGCACCTGCATCAGATGTCGAAGAAATACCACTATTTGGCTAAAGGATGGTCTTTTCTGAGGATCTTTATCCCAGCTCCTGGGGGGGAAAATATATTATTCATTAACTGAAATAAATGGAAACTGGTTGGAATAAGACAGGAATTGCAACAAAACGTTTGGGAAATAGCTTTATATTTTGGGTTGGAATAAGACAGGGAGCCCAATACTAGTAAGAAATTTGAAAAACGGCTTCTGTTTGAAATTATATAGTAGTACATGGTTCGCACAGTAATATAAGAAAAAAATTCCAGGACTTTTCAAGGACGTTTCAAGGACTTAAATGGTCATTTTCAAGGGCTATTTTCATTTCAATAATATGAAAAATTAAATATATTCTCAAAGTATGAAATTGAATGCATTTTTTACATCATCTTGAAAATTACCCAAGGCRCAAAACAACCGGAAATTACTGTTTTATGTGTTATTTAAATTATTTTTGTAATTTTAACCAAGGTTTTCCTCTTTCTAAAGATGAAAAAATATATTTTAGATAGCACCCAAGAAATTCCAGGATAAAAATGAATTAATGAATCAAGGAGTCAAAAGAAAAATTCAAGGAGTTTTCAAGTACCGAATGCATCTTTAAGGACTTTTCAAGGCCTGTGCGAACCATGTAGTAGGTGAAGTTAGCATAGAATGAAGAATAGACTCACATTGTCATTAGATTTTCTATAGGCTTTGGAATTCCTTTGATAAGAGGTGGCCTTTTACCTGCAAAAACAAAAAATTCATGTAAAATTTCAAATATTATGCATACCCTTTGAATACTCTTAAAACAGTACTGACGTAAAGAGGGGTTTAAGTGTACACCGTCGGCAGAGACATGCGAGTAATTGTCCAAGGTGTTAAGAACAGGTCTCTATCATTGCAAGCTCACCGTTCGTCTCGCTTCGATGCAAAGGCATGGATACCTTTCAAGATGGCGCAGGGAACTGTGAAAGGGACTATTGGGATTTAGCTTGTTACGATTTGCGGAGAATAGATGATTGTAAAATCCTGAGAATACTGCAGAGATTTCTGAACGGGATATCATTGGTAGGACTTACCACTGTGTACAGCCCACATTATTCTGAAGGGAGGAGAACCTGCCATGTCTTCAAAGGGTTTATGACGTGATATCATTTCCCAGAGGATGATCCCAAAACTGAAATAAAGTGAATAATAACAGGACTCGAAATTAACTAAACGAAAAAGAAAAAAAAAAAAAGAAAAAATATCTAAAAAAATCTACAAAGCTTTTGCTGTTGTATCACAGCTTGGGACAATCACAACAGAGCTAGGCTTCAAACTAAGTAAATTTTGTTCTCATTAGCAAAAATTTCAAAGTCACTAGCAATCAGATGCGTTGAAAAACAAACTTAACTTGATGCAGGTTCTAAACTTTGCAGTCCTTGACCTTCTGGACTGTGGTCATACTCGCAAAACTGAACTAGTTTAATTTTTGTCATTGCTTAATAAAAAATTCACCCGCACTTTGTGAGTTTAGGAGCATTAATTTTGCGCCTTGTAATAATAATATTATAATAAATTTATAATTAATACTAAGATTTATTCATAGTTAGTAATGCCTTTGATTAATATGGATTTTGAAAAGGGCCTTCCTCTCCCAAAGATATATTGTGCAACGAAATTAGATAGATATAGACAGATATGTTTATTAAGAAATAACACATTGCAGCTAAAAAGCTGAATTATGTGTACTTTATATGAAAATACAAACTGTAATATGAATATCTATAGCCAGTTCTAATGTAGGTTTGTGTCAATGCTTGCAAACATCATACCTATAGACATCACATTTCTCTGTGTAGTTGGTCCCTAGTGGCAAAACAAACAAATTGTTAATGTCATCACCTATTTTTGTGATCATTGCCATCTGTGCTGTCACCAGCAGTCGCAGCAATATCATCACCATCAAAATTATCCTCCTTACTATCATCAGATCACCATCACTACTATCATATGGCCATCATCATGCATCATCATCAACCATTATCATCACCATCATCATTATCATCACCATCATCATCACCACCATGCCATCATCATGCATCACCATCATCATCACTATCATCATCATGATCATCACCAACATCACCATCACCACCACTACCATCATCACTATCATCATCTTTGTGCATCATTATCCATCATCACTACCACTACCATCATCATCAATCATGATCATCACCACATCGTCATCATCACTATCAGTATCATCACCACCACCATTATCATCACTATCACCATCACCATCATCACTATCACCATCATCACTATCACCATCATCATCATTGGATCCAAGAAGACATATAAAACACAGCCATCAACTCGTGGGGTTGGTACATAACTGACAAGCTTACCTTCAAACACTTCTGGTGCCATCCATGCGGCACTTCCCTTATTGTTGGTCATGTAGGTCTTCAGATCACACGCTGTCCCAAAATCACAGATCTTTAACACTGTGCCGCACTTTGTCAGCAACAGACTGTAATCAAATAATATGAGAACATAACAAGTCAATAGAGTTCTTACAAGATAGCAAACAATTACTGAATGAGTTGGAGTATATAGATCTAAAAATAATGGATACAGTTATTCATTGTGTGTCATGTAAAGCATCGTTTAGACTCGTTTAAGCTTTGCACTATCATGTGATGGCAGCCACGACAGATCGAGGCACAACAACAGAGTCTTTCCTAAATAGGTTAAACCAATTTCAATCCAATTTCTCAAGGTTGTGTCTGCATCTAAGTTTAAGGAACTTGACGGGCCGCGATACCAGAACAGGAGCTTTATAATGAGTATTATCATACATTTCTAAGAATTTTCTTTGATAAGAATTCATAAAATTGATTTTCTCCTGGTTTCTCAATTTTACTGAATCTGCATGTTTTTCAATTTTGTGGCCCATCAAGTTGGATGTGCATGCAAACAGTCTATCGTTCCTGCCTCCAGTGATCTTGCTAAAGCTCTATAAAGCTCTATTTTATCCTAACACCATTGAAAATACCTTGGCATTTAACCAAAAAATTAAAAACAAAATAAAATGCTTGATGCAAAGAGACATTGAAATACCACTATTATCCATCAAAATTTGATTTTCTATTTAAAAGAAAACTGCAACTGCGTTCTGATTGGCTGTTTTCAATGAAGTCTTACAAAATCTCCTCTCTTTCACACAAGGAGTGTTAATCTTTTTTTTTAATTACAACTCCATTCCCAATAACTCCTTTAGCTACTTACTTTGGTGGTTTGAGGTCACGATGGATAATAGCCTTTGGTTTCATACCATGGAGGTACTCTACTCCTCTTGCGCATTGTAAGGCCCAGCTTATTACGTGCGAAGCGGTGTATATTGGAGCAGGACTACTCTTTTGCCAATGGAGTACTATAAAAGATACAAGAAAAAGTATTTCAATTTTATCTTGAATCAGATGCAATCATATTATGAGTGAAAAGACAAAAAAGGCGGCCATCTTGGTGAGGATAACAAAGAATACTAATGAGAAATCTTTTGTTAAATAGCACCAACATGGATATGCGTATGAGAATATATATGAAATATATATTTGTACTGCGGATGTAAAGTATCAAATTGCACCAACATGGCGGCAATGCCGTAACGTGCAATCAAAGAATTTGTGTCGAACTTACAGTTATAAAGTGATCCACCTTCTGCATACTCCATGACAAGACAAACCTGTAAAAACAAGATATCTGTTCAATACGTCAGGACCACAGACACTTTACATGATATATGGACTCCCTTCAATGTGATTATGAGAGTGTTGTTTCTACTTTAGCATGAATCTAGCCTATTAACTCCCGAAAAACAAGCTGGCATCCCTTATCATACATGTACATGTAACAGACCTTTCCTTAATTTGCTTGAGTGACAATAGACTGTTTTCTCAAGGATTAACCATTGAATAAGAAGTATTATCAGCTATCTGCACTGTTTTTAGAGGCTCACTTACTGGTTCCTGTGTGGTGACAGCTCCATATAATTTAATAATATTTTCATGTTTCACTCTTGACAGTTGCTCAACCTGAAAAAAAAAAGAACACATTCAGTTCAGATTTTCCTTCAAAAACTGAGTTTACAGCAGCAAATCCTGTATCACCACCCCTCTTTCAAGATATAAAAGTAAGTGAAGATAAGCATGCTAATAAACACAACAACCCTAGAAAAAATCAGAGAACCAGGATCATGGGAATCCAACCCCTGATCTTCCGATTATCTAGACGAATGCTCTACAACTGAGCTACTGGACTCGTATGATTTAACTAAGAGTTCAGTAATAGCGTGTGTATCAGCGTTTATTAACGTGCTTATCTTCACTTAACTGTAATATTTATAGTTTCTATCAACACAGCAGGTAATACAAGCTTTCTTATAACTGCAATGTTATATAGACCTCTTTGGCTTGAGGTTAATGTTAGGACACCTTTTCATACCATGATTCTTCGTTTGAGTTGTATCAATATTTATGTGTCTTCTCAAGTGCAACAGTTAAACAAAGAAATAGTGAACATAGGAATGAAAAATGGTCTAAAATGTGAAAACGCTACCAAAAAGGACAAGAGGTCTATTGCTTGACATCGCTATAATATTGTATCAAAGGTGTCAATTCATTTTATTTACCTCTACAAGAAAAGCTTTCTTCTCTGCTTCTCCTTCAATGGTTTTCACAGCCACAACAAATTTGCTTCTCCATAATGCTTTATATACTACACCAAATGCACCTCTTCCAACATTCTGTGATTGTAAAATATAACCTTGCTAGTGCTGTTGTGCATTAATTGAAATGCTTTAATGAGATAACATCGTTACCATGGTATTTTAAGCATAATATCAATTTCATCATATCCTATTTACAGCGCAACATGCAAAAGTATCGACCACATTTAATGTATTCACATACTTCTGTGCACAGGTTCTGTATGTTAAACGACATATTGTGATGCAAAGCTGGCTGGTTTTACCAAATAAGGCCTGCAAATGCTTATTTGGCAAGAAAAGCCCTGCATAAAAGTATGCGAATACATTAAATGTAGTCATATTTTTTCACGTTGCTCTGCAACAACCTTACCTAAGTCAGGGCATAACTAACTCACAGATCAAACCCTGAAAAGGCATCCTCCAGGCTGATCTAAGTCAGGGCATGGCTAACTCACAGATCAAACCCTGAAATAACATCTGGGCTGATCTAAGTTAGGGCATGGCTAACTCACAGATAGAACCCTGAAACAACATCTGGGCTGATCTAAGTCAGGGCATGGCTAACTTACAAATCGAACTCCAAAACAACCTCTAGGTTGAAACTTGGTATAGGACATGACTAACTCACATATGAAACCCTGAAACAACTTCTGGGCTGACCTAAGTCAGGGCATGGCTAGCTCACAGATCAAACCCTGAAACAACCTCTTGGCTGATCTAAGCCAGGGCATAACTAACTCGCATATCAAACCCTGAAACAACCTCTAGGCTGATCTAAGTCAGGGCATGACTAACTCACAGATAGAACCCTGAAACAACCTCTGGGCAGATCTAAGTCAGGGCATGGCTAACTCACAGATCAAACCCTGAAACAACCTCTGGGCTCATCTAAGCCAAGGCATGACTAACTCGCATATCAAACGCTGAAACAACCTCTGGGCTGATCGAGTCAGGGCATGGCTAACTCACAGATCAAACCCTGAAACAACCTCTGGGCTCATCTAAGCCAAGGCATGACTAACTCGCATATCAAACGCTGAAACAACCTCTGGGCTGATCAAGTCAGGGCATGGCTAACTCACAGTAGTTGTTTCAAGGTTTGAATGGTCAGTCAATCACAATTCAGTAATATATGTTGCACTCCTTTTTTATAAATCTAAAAAGTTAGATTACAGTATATGGTGCAAGTAAAGCTCCCTTAACACCTTATGAGTGTACATTATAGTACGAATCTTAAAATTTTTGCTAATAAACATTTTTATATCGTTTTTATAAACAATCATTTGGAATTGCAAAATGGAATGAATATTTTCAGATCTAGATCTTTGGCAATCAAGTTAAGAAGACATTAAATGTTTTCTTGGTTACAAGTAAAAGCTTTTTAAACAATTTTTCATACTTTCTACTAGAACGATCTTAGAAAATAAGGCAATAACACAAAAATAGATAGAATTCTTTCAAATGGATTCATATTACGTGATATTCTCCTATGATGGCAAAGGACGGTTTTCTATACAGCTGTTTGAATGGATTCTACGTAAGATCTTACCTCTAAAACACCAAGCTCATTAACATCGATCTCTTCTACGAATTTTGGAGGGGAATCAGCCTGTAGATCGTCTTCTTCGTCCATGTCTCGATGCAGGACAAGAAGAGTGGACAAGAACCGTTTGCTTTTAAATTGTTACAAAATTACCGCTTTTTGTAATTTAAAACAATAGAAACAGCTGAATATAGTACAATCAAAGCTCCGTTACTTTTCGAGACGTCTTTTCGTTAGATTTCAAGCAGAAAAGCAACGTTTTGGAAGACAAATCTTGACCGCTCCCGAGACGTCCAACAGAAGTCCAACAAAACTGCCCAAGAATGCGTCGTTTTTCTACCAAATTACTCAATAAATTCCATAAAAATAACCCTCAAGGATGTACTTCGTTCTATGCTCTTTGCATTTGACTTGTTTTTTGGTTGTTTTTGAGCGGAAAACTTGTTCAAAACATCGTCTAACGACGGGAAGTCATTTAGTTAAGTGATCGCCATATTTTCCCCGGAATACCTTCCTATAATCCTTTGCGCGCTCTACTACACATGCGCAGATCATTCCTTTACTGTCAAAGTAAAAATTCAGTTGGAAAGAGCCTTCAAAATACTAACATTTCACGACTATTTCAGGTAAGAAAGACGCCATATTACTTCCTAGATCTTTGGTCACATTTAATTTAAGTCTTCTTCTACAACCATGCGGTTTTTTGTTAGCGCTTTCAGTTGTCTTTGGAATTTTTTTTTCTCGGCGCRAATTTTCCTCCCTCAACGAACTTACGTTAATGAGTCTTATCCAAAATTTATACCATTCTGTATTTGAAAATTCTCGACCTAATCAGCTAAAATGTGGCTTCGATTTCTATATTAACGTCTTTCATCTATAACAAAGTAGGATATGGATGTTTACATAAGTCGTGAATATGATTTCTGGTTTGGATCAGTTTAGGATTCTTGTCTAGACTGACTGTCCAAAACATAAAACCGTTTGTATCGGCGATAAAAATTGCATTAAGGCTTCGCCAAAGAAGTATGATCAGTCAGATTTTAGAATACTGCAAGCATAAATAATTTTGACGTAAAAAGCTGTCATTTTGTTTGCTCAAAGGAGTGGGATCTTTTTTGTGACATTTCTTTAGTCGTATCGTTGGTGAAACAAAATAACATTCATCAATAAGTAATGCGCAAGATTCCCTAACCTCAAAACTGTACCATTTTACCATTCTTTTCACCAGTTTCATCCCACTATTTCGGGCAAGAGGATGAGTTTGAGTGAGATCTGCGACAATACCAAAATGGGCCGTGAGTACGCCCTATTGGGGAACTACGACACTGCCTTGGTGTACTACCAAGGGGTGGTTCAACAGATACAGAAGGTCATCGCCCAGATTAAGGATCCCGTGAGAAAACAGAGATGGCAACAGGTAAGGAGACACACAGCCCAACTTGTTGATTTAGTTGGGTTAGTTAAGTTAGCCATGCCCTGACTTAGATCAGCCCAGAGGTTGTTTCAGGGTTCAATCTGTAAGTTAGCCGTGCCCTGACTTAGATCAGCCCCGAGGTTGTTTCACGATTTGATAAAATATCATGGTCAAGTATTAATCAATAAATGTATCATACAGGGCTTAAAATAAAGTCCGAACAGTAGTCGTTCATGATGAACATTCAAATATTAGTCTTAGCTAGGCCAAACCCTGTTCCTGGTTAACGTTATTCTGGTCAAAATGACCAGCAGGGCAAAGAATTCATTGGCCAAGTTCAAATTCTGGTTAGCGTTGTCCAATGACCAGACACTATCTTAATCCTGTTTTTAACGTATGATTAAGAACTGTATTTTACTGTGTTTCAAAGGTTCGACAAGAAATTGTGCAAGAATATGAACACGTGAAAGACATCAGTCAAACATTAGCCAACTTCAAAAAGGACACTGTTCATTTTGGAGGCATRAGACATCGCCATGAGGAACCTACTAGAGATCCTGATGTCTGGCCACCACCAACACCTGTAGAGAGAGATAACAGGTATGACAGATTGTATTTATATAGAACAATTTTCATATGACTGAAAAGCTCACAGCACAAACATGGTCTTGACATGGCAAGGGATACTTTAAGCCAATACATTGCAACTTGTAACTAACGAGTTTGCAGAATATCAAAACCGCAGTGAGTGAAATTGAAAATGATTAAATTTTGTTGCCAGACCAGCCAAGCCAATGCCACGCCCTGTGGTCAAGAAGAGTGATGATAATTCTCCAGCATATAGGCATGCACCCCCAAGCCGACGCCCTGAGAAGCCAAGTGAGAGAGGTGCAAGGAGATCTGCTAACCCGAGTAACAAACCATCAAGGGATGGCCGAAGAGATGCAGGTAGAGGGCAGCCAGGAAAGGGGGACAAGGAGAAAGGAAAGAAAGAAGAGAAAGCACAGGAAGGAGATCATGATGAAAAGAAGTATGATGGTGGAGGAATAGATAAGGACTTGGTGGAGGCACTAGAACGAGATATTGTACAACGCAATCCCAATGTACATTGGTAAGATGGCTAATTTTGCAATTACACAATATATCCACTTTAGACCCTCCCCACCCCTTGGACATTCCAATCCCCCTCTGTGGGGGAGGTATGGGTATTTTCTGGAACTACACAATATACCCTCAGACCCTCCCCACCCCTTGGAAATTCCAWTCCCCCTCTATGGGGGAGGTATGGGTATTTTCTGGAACTACACAATATACCCTCCTCAGACCCTCCCCACCCCTTGGAAATTCCAATCCCCCTATATGGGGGAGGTATGGATTTTTTATGGTACTACACAATATACCCTCCTCAGACCCTCCCCACCCCTTGGAAATTCCAATCCCTCTCTGTGGGGGAGGTATGGATATTTTCTGGAACTACACAATATACCCTTCTCAGACCCTCCCCACCCCTAGGAAATTCCAGTCCTCTGTGGGGGAGGTATGGGTATTTTCTGGAACTACACAATATACCCTCCTCAGACCCTCCCCACACCTAGGAAATTCCAATCCCCCTCTGTGGGGGAGGTATGGATATTTTTTTCCAACAAATTCATCCATTAACCAATCAATATTCATCGTGATGCTATTTACAGGGGTGACATAGCAGATCTTGCCGAGGCAAAAAAGCTGCTGGAGGAAGCTGTCGTTCTCCCTCTCCTTATGCCGGAGTACTTTACAGGAATCAGACGGCCATGGAAGGTACAGTACATGTATATACAATCTATAATAACATGTTTTTGTAACTTCATTATACAAGTAACCTTGACTTATAGAAGCTGATGTTATAACTGGGTGTCCTGTGTTACTGCTGTTTTCAATATCTTGTGACCTCTGACATTTCAATGTTGTTGTAGAATCGATTTTCCACTGGTGCTAATATGAAAGTAACTGACGATTATTTTTGATTGACAGCAGCCAAAATCAAATTTCAGCGTGCCGCTCGCAACTAAAAGTTTGCAGAGTATCGAATACCACAGGTAGTCCATGGAATGCATTTTTTGAATAGTTCTGAACCTTTTTTGCCAGGGTGTTCTTATGGTGGGTCCTCCAGGAACTGGTAAAACAATGCTGGCAAAAGCAGTAGCAACAGAATGTGGAACAACCTTCTTTAATGTCTCTTCCTCAACACTGACATCAAAGTATAGAGGAGAGTCAGAAAAACTTGTGCGAATTTTGTTTGAAATGGTGAGAATTTTGATAATTTACCCTATTCTTACTTCCTCCTTCCTTTTTTCTTTCTCTTTCCTCCTTTCCCTCCCTCCCAACCTTCCTTCCTCACTTTTTCACTTCCTACCTCCCTCCCTCCTTCCTCCCTCCCTTCCTTCCTTCCTTCCTTCCTCCATCCCTTTCTTCTTCATTCCCTTCCTTCCTTCCTTCTTTCCTTCCTCCCTTCCCTCCCTCCATCCCTTTCTTCTTCATTCCCTTCCTTCCATTATCCCTTCCTTCTTCCCTTCTTCTCTCTTCTTCCCTCACACTCTTTCATTCTTTTCTTTCCAGGCACGTTTCTATGCTCCAAGCACAATATTCATCGATGAGATTGATTCCATTTGTAGTCGTCGGGGTACAGACAGTGAACATGAAGCTAGCCGTCGTGTGAAGTCTGAACTTCTAATTCAAATGGATGGTAAGACTTTCTTTCTCCCAAGCACTGTCACTAGAACCTCCTGCCTTGCTTCGAATCAAATTTGAATTTGATTGAATTCGGGGCAGAGCTAACTCATTCATCAAACCTCTTGGCTGATCTAAGTCAGGGCATGGCTAACTCACAGATCAAACCCTGAAACAACCTCTGGGCTGATCTAAGTCAGGGCATGGCTAACTCACAGATCAAACC